ATTAATATTCGACAAAGGAGGCAAGAGCATACAATGGAGTCAAGACAGTCTTTTCAATAAATGGTGTTGGGAAAATTGGACAGATACATGCAAAAGGATGAAACTAGATCACCAACTCACACTATACACAAAAATAAACTCAAAATGGATAAAAGACTTAAACGTAAGACGGGAAACCATAAAAAAACTAGAGGAATCCACAGGCAGCGAAATCGCAAACATATGCCGAAGAAATTTCTTCTCTGATAATGCCCCTAGGGCAATGGAAACTAAAGAGAAAATAAACAAATGGGACTACATCAAAATAAAAAGCTTTTGCACAGCAAAGGAAACCATCAACAAAACAACAAGAAGACCCACTACATGGGAGAACATATTTGCCAATGATACCACCGATAAGGGTTTAATTTCCAACATTTACAGGGATCTCATGAAACTTAACAAAAGGAAGATAAACAATCCAATAAAAAAAATGGGCAACGGACCTAGATAGACACTTTTCGAAAGAGGACAGACAGAAGGCCGAAAGACATATGAAAACCTGCTCAAAGTCACTAATTATACGAGAGATACAAATCAAAAGGACAATGCGTTATCATCTCACACCTGTCAGAATGGCTATCATCAACAAATCAACAAACAACAAGTGTTGGAGAGGATGTGGAGAAAAAGGAACCCTTCTGCACTGCTGGTGGGAATGCAGACTGGTGCAGCCACTGTGGAGAACAGTATGGAGCTATCTCAGAAGACTAAAAATGGAACTCCCATTTGACCCAGTGATCCCACTACTAGGAATATATCCCAAGAAACCAGAAACACCAATCAGAAAGGATATATGCACCCCTATGTTCATAGCAGCACAATTCACCATAGCTAAGATTTGGAAACAGCCTAAGTGCCCATCAGCAGATGAGTGGATTAGAAAACTGTGGTACATATACACAATGGAATACTATGCTGCGGTAAAAAAAGGGAACTCTTGCCTTTTGCAACAGCATGGATGGAACTGGAGAGCATTATGCTAAGTGAAATAAGCCAGTCCGAGAAAGATAAATACCACATGATCTCACTCATTTGTGGATTATAGAGAACAACATAGACTGATGAAAAGGGACAGACCCAAAGACTGAGAAACAGCTATCAGGCTATCAATCCCCAGAAGGAAAGTAGGGGAGGGCGGGGGTAAGGGGAAGAGATCAACCGAAGGACTTGTATACATGTATATAAGCCAAACCAATGGACATGGACAATAGGGGGATGGGAACATGCGTGTGTGTGTGGGGGGGGGGGGGAGGTTGGGGGTTAATGGGGGGGATGAGGACACATTTGTAATACCTTAACTAATAATAATAATAATAATAATAATAATAATAATAGTAAACCACATTTAAACTAGTTTAGTAAAACTAAAAAAAAAAAAGAACCAGGAAGCAAGCAAAACAATGCAGCTGCGCAGCCAACCTCAAGTCCCAAAGCCCAAGCCTCCGTCAGTTTTATAACATCGTGGAAATGTTATTGAGTGCAAGTCACCCCCAAATTCCTGTGGTACAAAATAAAACAAGCCATTTAAATTCAGAAAACTTTGTTTATAAAATCAGGTGATTTTTTTTAATAATTGTCACTGGCAAACATTTATTGAGCATGCCACTATGCCAAGAGGGTATAAAGGATGTATTAAATAGTCCCAACCCACAGAAGTCTGCAATGTGTTTGGGAAACACGGGAAATATTAAATGCAAATGGATCACAGTGGTACCGGGGCATACACATGATAAATGGCACAGGAGGGGTACAGACTATAAGCTCTGTATGAGAGCCAAGAAAAAGGCGAATCCTCAAGTGACTGATGTGTCACTGAGGATCCACAGGAAGCAGATGGCACACTCAAAGGATTTAACTAAAAGAGTTTAACTAAGAAAATACTGACTGAGCTAAGCCAACTAATTGTCAGTGGTGAATTTGGGGGCTAGCAACACTGGGAATCAGTTACCATGATGAGGAAAATAAGACATTTTGCAGGGGTTGGGGGGGAGACCAGCAGCCTGACTCTGTACCTAGTTAGTCAGTATCCCTAATGCACATTCTTGTTAGCCTATAATCAAGTCACTGCCCCTTCCTTAATTATCTGGTCTTGCAAGACCTATTTACCTAAATACTCACATTTTAGAGGCCATAAACCATGAACTATACACAACCCCTGGAGGGGGTTATCAGCGCTGGCATCAGGCCAGGCCTTTAGGTGTGGTCTCACGTCCCCCGAGCCCACGAAAGGTCTGGAAGTCTGGTCCATATATGGGGAACAAGGAAACCAACAGGTATAAAGAAAAAGCTTCCTCCATATTGGTTTGCTCAGGATTTGGAAACAGGCTCCCCTGAGTCACGGCACTAGTACACCTGGAAATAAATGGGGTTTCCTCTATCTTCGAGTACTCCTGTGTGTGTATTTTCCAATCGCCTGGTAAATTCTGTAACAACCACACTACCACTCTAGGGCCTGAAGAGGCAGGGCAAGGAATGATGTTACTAGAGCCCCACTGAGAGCTGGTGGCATGAAAGAGAGGATACTAGACAGGCGCTGAGGCTATAAAGGCAGAGCAGGATGCTCAGGACGAGAGTTGGGGAATAAATACTCACCTTTTGTTCACTGGCTAATGCCTCCCACAGGCCAAACCCAACCAGAAACTGGAGAGCAAGGGAACAGAAGATGCAGTTTGGGGACACACAGATCAGAAGGGAGAAGAGTGGGCGTAGGGGGACACATGGAGATTAGCCTAGCACACAGGCTAGACACCTTCCTATGGGTTTTAAGAGAAAGGGGAGCTTTCTTGGCATAGAAATGGGAGGGGGAGGACAGAAGAAAACATGAATGTGTGGGAAATGGGCAATAATGTTTTCAGCCAGCTAATGTGTGCAGAGAACATTTTCTTAAGAAGGGGCAGACTATAACATTCAGGAAGCATGGAGGATTAGCCATAGAGGAGGGTTTCTTAGCCTCATATAAAAGAGTATCTATAAGCTCTGACACGTAATGGATACCCACAAAACCAGCATCCACACCAAGAACTAGACCACCACCAACCACATCTATCTGTATGCTCCTCCTTCTTCCACTCCCCTGCCTCTTAGAATTTTGTGATTATCATTTTCTTGTAAAGTTATCCTCATTATATTCTGCTGTATTTATTGACTGATAGATCAAGGATAACTTCACCTCTGTCCCTCAACCTGGCCTCCTGCAGACAGACATCAGACCACTTGGGTCAGACAGAATCATGAAATTCCTTTCTTACATTTAACCTGCCACGCTAAAATTGTATTTTTCATCTTCCATCTCCAGCTGGCTATTAGTTTACCAGAAACACCCCTTCTTCTACATGAAGATTATCATTCATTCCTTCCTGCATCACTTACTCTGCATGAAAGCAGAAAGAGACCAGCATACCTTCTTCCTTCATGCACACACAGAACAGACGCCACTGGCCTTTTTCTCCTGGAAGATACACCTGCAGCCCTCAAACCTCTAGCCTCCCTCTCCAGTCCTAAGGCACACCCTGCTGGATAGGTGCCTACACCACTTGGTGGCACCTCCACAGCAGGCTCTGGAAGGCAATTGGTGGCCAGTGGTTAGATTTCTTTCATCCCCAGATTCCCTGTGGGTTAGTGGTCATCCCCAGACCACCCAGAATGCTCCAGAGTTTGACCTGACAACAGACTGGGCCCTTTACAAATGGACAACTGCAGGCTCTGAAAAGCCCTCTGCATGCCTAAACCCAAAACCCAGCTCCCCCCTACCGTTGTTCACTGATGCTTGAAATTGCTTTAAGGAGAGACAACCGCTCTCATCTCACAACTAGAGAAACCTTTGATGAGCCTGGATGAACTCATTGATTTAGAGTAGTACACAGTACTGTATAAATGGGTTGGAAGATTGGATGATGCAATGGGCATCTTTAAAAATGGGCATAAAGTGACAAAGGGTGTACCAGAGAAAGATTGGGCTTTTCTTGCCTCCTTAAGAACTTGAGAAAGAAAAATCTTAAAAATTATTAGACCTGGAGTCCTATTTGGCTCTACTGCCAGCTGTTCCTCCATGGGCAAGTTACTCAAAGTTTTGAGCCTGTTTCTTATTTCTGCAACGAAGGTAAATACCTACCTCCAGAGTTACTGTGAGACTCTGATGCCATTCTACACAGTGAATATTTTCCTTCTTTCTCTGTTGCTTCAGGCAGCTCGAGCTCTATTCCTACCCACAGTAACTCTGTCCCCTTTCTTAGCATTACCAGGTATTGAGAATAAGAGTGAGGAATCTAAAACCACCAAACGTGGGTTCAAATCCTAACTATCATTTGCTAACTGTAATCTTGGGCAAGTTACTTGACCGCTGGGCTGTTTCCTCATCTGTCAATACATAGTACTTGTCTTTTGGGGTGGTCGTAAGGATTGAGTTAATATGTGTCACGCACTTAGGAATCATTTTGGCTCCCACACAAAACGCACTGCAAGAATGCTTGCTACTGTTATTCTCCGAGGCTTCTCATCTGTCGACCTTCCACAAGCCAAAATTTCATTTTAAGTCCCTCCACTTCCACTCTCTAATGTACAAAGCCCGCTGCAGGTTGACACACATCCGCCAGGTTTCTTAACGCCCTAGCCCCGTCCTTAAACCGCCAGGACAGCTGGTCCTCCCACAACAAGCACCACACACACACACACACACACACACACACACACACACACACACACCCCAATGCTGTTTTCAGTCTCCCAACCCCATCCTGGCAGGACTTTGGGAGCCCCGACTTTGCATTGCAGGAGGTTGGGCCCAGGGGGGCGGAGCCAGGCGGGTGGGCGGGGCGGATGTCTGTGACGTAGCGCCCCGCCCCCCACCCCCTCCGCCGCGGTTGCCAAGGCAGCGTAACCGGCGTCAGGGTTGCCAGGCGAAGGCTGCTCGCTAACAAAGCCCGGTCTTGCTCCACCTTTCCTTTCTCTCCAAGCCGAGGCCCCGAACGGTCCTTCCCCACCCAAGATCTGCTGCTTTCCCTCTCCAAGGGTGCCAGGCCCTGAATCTCTCCCCACACTCCCAGCCTGGTGCCTGACAGCTTGTTTGGGAGCGAACCTCAGGTAGCAACCCCGAAAGGGAAGTGGGGGGAGCGGGCCGCGGCGAGCTCCCCAACGGCTGAGTGGGTCTGTGGGAAGAGTCTTGCCCATGGGCCCGCCTGAATTCTGTCTACAGAGCAAGAGGAAGGGACTATGATCTTTAAGAGAATATGACCATGGTTGATTATTGCCCTCTGTCCATCGTGTATCTATGTTTCTGTACCAAGAACTACTATTTTATGATTTTTATGATTTCTTACACAGAGGATAGTGATTTGGAAACACAACATAATCTGGGATCAGAGCCCCCGATCCTACTGACTAACCAAACCTCTTATTTTTCTTCTGTAACATGGATATAAGAATACCTAGGGAGGGGTAGTCATGAGGACCAATGAGCTTGACTAGCACTTTATAAACAGCTATCACTGATTCATTTTCCTAATATTTATTGAGCACTGACTGTATTCCAGTCACCAGGCTAGGTAGTGGGAATTCTATAGTGAACAGAAACTGATCGTTCCTGCTCTTATTACAGTCCATTGGGAGAGACAGGTGTTAATCAAATAATCATGCAAATATTGTAAAATTAGCGCCAAGTGCTGGCAATGCGAGTTGGGTAGTTAAGTGATGCTCTGAGAAGATATATTGAAACTAACAGCTCAGGGAGGTGGAAAGGTGGGGAGTACATTCCAAGCAAAGGTAACCATGTGTCCAAAACCCACCATCTCCCATTCCAAACTCAAACAAGTTTTGCCTGGTCTTGGGTTCCAAGAGCTGTTCATAGAAACCACCTCTGGGGTTGTGGTGTCTGGAGCCTGTCATTCATGTAACTGGAGACCTCATTTATATAACTGAAGCCCTGTTTAGTCCACACCAATAAAACAAAATGAGAGATTCCAGAACCATCTATATTCCATATAGAATAAGACCTATTTTCTTCAGCACTGAGAATGTATGTGTTGGCCACAATTCCACATTGGGAAGGATATGAGTTTTTAAAAAGGGAAATCTGTTTAATTTTAAAGAACTGGGGGTAAGCAGACTAGAATGGATCATTGAGGAGGGCCTACCATACTGACAGCTTTAAGAATGGAAAAGAACATTACGAAAACATCACAATCATGGAATGGTAAGGTGAAATGGGCCTTTCTCCACTTCTTTGATCTGATGTGAACAAACGATCCATATTACCCAAAGGCATAAAGGTTGGGCTTTGGGGCCTCTCCAACCTAAGGAGCCTATGATTCTAAGTCTCTGTGGCTCAAAAGCACATAGAACTGAGAGTATATGGCAGCATGAAAGAATCTGACCTGCCCCTCCTTCAGTGTGCTCCATTTCTACTGTGATGCCACCATCTACCCAGTCACCCAAAACTGAAAAGTGGGGAGTCATCCTAAATGATTCTCTCTCCTCATCCTCCTCCCTCAGTGGTTACCAAATCCCGTAGCTCCGGTCTCTCCTATCCCTTCCCATTGTATCTGATTTTCAAGGCAATGATGCTCAAGAGTTGTTGCCAAAAGTGCTGCCATATTATCCTAACCAGATTCCCTGCCTGAAGCTTCAGTCCACTCCCTTTAGCCCATCTACATAGCTGTCAATCAACGCATATTTCAGAGTCCAGTGAAAAGAAAGAAATCATATAACAAGTCTAACAAATGAAGTGCAATATGAAGAATTTTTAACTATAATAGGATTGGAGTAATGCAGCGGTTCTCAACTTGTGGGTTGCCAACCTGTGGGTCACGACCACTTTGGGGGTCGAACGACCCTTTCACAGGGGTCACCTAAGACCATCAGAAAACACATATGTAATTACATATTGTTTTTGTGATTAATCACTATGCTTTAATTATGTTCAATTTATAACAATGGAAATACATCCTGCATATCAGATATTTACATTACGATTCATAACAGTAGCAAAATTACAGTTATGAAGCAGCAACGAAAATAATTTTATGGTTGGGGTCACCACAACAGGAGGAACTGTATTAAAGGGTCGCGGCATTAGGAAGGCTGATAACCACTGGAGTAATGGGAGATTGGTAAGACATAAAGAGATCTAAAGCATACAGAGATGCAACAAGCAACCACAATCCTTGAGATGGATTACTCAAAAAAAAAAAAAAAAAAGAGAGAAAGAGAGAGAGAGAGAGAGAGAGACAACCTCCTAAGAACTTATATTCAGCCTTAGGCCCAACCACTCTCCCTTTGTCCACTCTAGCCCACCACATTTACTCATAGTTCCCTGAATTCACCATGTTCTCTTACACCTCCACACCTTTGTATAAGTGGTCATAGCCACAAAGAACTCCCTCCTTGCTCTCACCAGTAAGAAGATGCTTATTAAGTAGCTGCTCTGTACCTGGCACTGTTCTGAGGGCTGGAGATACAGCAATGGACAAACCAGGCTTCCCCAAGTCTCTGTTCAAATATCATAACCCTTTGGGAAGTATTTTTCAACTTCCTTCTCCTACCTTCAGAGGGGTTAAATTCCTCATCTAGAAGTTTCTAGTCACCAATATCTAGTGCAGACTTGTTGACATTTATCATACCCTGTTTTAGTCATTGATTTTCCCATCAGGCTCTTCCAGTAGCCTATGAGCTCTCTGAGGGCAGGATGTGTGACTCGTGAATTTCTATATCCCAGTATTCAGCACTATTCTTCACACATGAGTTTTGTTAGATTAATATTTGCCCAGGATCTATAATGAGTCCAAGTCCTGCCTTATAGTCAAGAGTGCTTCTCGAAAGATGGCGGCATAGGTTAACGCCAGAGATCGCTGCCTCAAACAACCACTTCAGAGATATAACTAAAGGACAGAACGTACATCACCCAGAACCACGGGAAGGCTGGCTGAGTGGAAATTCTACAACTAGGAGGAAAGAGAATATCATACCCAGACTCAGAGGAGGCGCAGTGCTGAAGTGAAATACTCAGGTGCGGAGTGCGCGCGCGGAGCGGGCTGGCTGCGGAGGGCGCGGTTGTTGTTTTCAATCGGGAGGGAGTTTCAGACTCTGAGCTCCAGATCCGGGCGAGTCTCTGGGGACCGAGACTCAAACGGGAGAAACGGGACTGTCTGGTTTCGGTCGGAACTCGAAGGCAGCTTTCTCTCCGAGGGTTGCAGCCATTGCTGGGGCTCTGAGAGGCAGAGCCCCTGGGGAAGGAACTGAGAGTCGCCATAACGGCTTGTTCCGCCCGCCCTGTAGATCCCCGGGGACCCGCCCCGCCCAAGCCCTGCGCAGCGCCATTTGCCGGATAGCCTCAGGCAAACGCTAGATTAGCACCGCCCTAGAGATCCAGCACAGAAGCCCTCCCACTACTGACACAGCAGACTCTCATAGCCAGTTAGCCTGGAGGTCAAATCACCCCGGTATTGCCGACATCAATCAAGGCTTAAAGGCAACAAGACTGCGGACAAAGACCACTAGGGGGTGCACCAAGAAAGCATAAAAAATGCGGAGACAAAGAAACAGGACAAAACTGTCAATGGAGGATATTGAGTTCAGAACCACACTTTTAAGGTCTCTTAAGAACTGTCTAGAAGCCGCCGATAAATGTAGTGAGATCCTCAAGAAATCTAATGAGACCCTCGATGTTGTGATAAAGAACCAACTAGAAATTAAGCATACACTGACTGAAATAAAGAATATTATACAGACTCCCAACAGCAGACCAGAGGAGAGCAAGAATCAAGTCAAAGATTCGAAATGCAAAGAAGCAAAAAACACCCAACTGGAAAAGCAAAATGAAAAAAGAATCCGAAAATATGAAGATAGTGTAAGGAGCCTCTGGGACAGCTTCAAGCGCACCAACATCAGAATTATAGGGGTGCCAGAGGATGAGAGAGAGCATGATATTGAAAACCTATTTAAAGAAATAATGACAGAAAACTTCCCCCACCTGGTGAAAGAAATAGACCTACAGGTCCAGGAAGCGCAGAGAACCCCAAACAAAAGGAATCCAAAGAGGACCACACCAAGACACATCATAATTAAAATGCCAAGAGCAAAAGACAAAGAGAGAATCTTAAAAGCAGCAAGAGAAAGAAACCCAGTTACCTACAAGGGAATACCCATACGACTGTCAGCTGATTTCTCAACAGAAACTTTGCAGGCCAGAAGGGAATGGCAAGAAATATTCAAAGTGATGAATACCAAGAACCTACAACCAAGATTACTTTATCCAGCAAAGCTATCATTCAGAACGGAAGGTCAGATAAAGAGCTTCACAGATAAGGAAAAGCTAAAGGAGTTCATCACCACCAAACCAGTATTATATGAAATGCTGAAAGGTATCCTTTAAGAAGAGGAAGAAGAAAAAAAAGGGAAAGATACAAATTATGAACAACAAATACGCATCTATCAACAAGTGAATCTAAGAATCAAGTGAATAAATAATCTGGTGATCATAATAGAATCAGGGACATAGAAAGGGAATGGACTGACTATTCTTGGGGGGGAAAGGGGTGTGGGAGATGCGGGAAGAGACTGGACCAAAATCGTGCACCTATGAAAGAGGACAGTGGGTGGGGAGTGAGGGCGGAGGGTGGGGCGGGAGCTGGGAGGAGGGGAGTTATGGGGGGAAAAAAAAGAGGAACAAATGTAATAATCTGAATAATAAAGATTTAATTAAAAATAAAAAAAATAAAAAAAAATAAAAAAATAAAAAAATAAAAAAAGAGTGCTTCTCAACTAGAGCCTAATCCAGTGGTGGGCAAACTTTTTGACTCGAGGGTCACAATGGGTTCTTAAACTGGACCGGAGGGCCGGAACAAAAGCATGGATGGAGTGTTTGTGTGAACTAATATAAATTCAAAGTAAACATCATTACATAAAAGGATACGGTCTTTTTTTTTTTTTAGTTTTATTCATTTCAAACGGGCCGGATTCGGCCCGAGGGCTGTAGTTTGCCCACGGCTGGAATCCTCCCTACAGGGTCTATTGGAAAAAGACAAGTCAATGTTGAGCATCATCAGGAATGGTAATAGAAATAGGACAAAAACATAGCCCTGATCTTA